TTGCATGAAAATAATGTTTTAATAGTTTCTGATTTTTATATTTAATGTATGTTTGAATGAATGAATTTAAAGTACAATTTCTACAATCAATTCAATTTGAACTGTATTTTCTTGAGAATTCATTAAATTTTTCATAAGAATCAGTTAAAAATTGCAGAATATTCTAATGTATAACGAATGGCAACGAATATATGGTACAAACATTTGTGACGAATAAGTCACTAAATTAAACTAAATGAACTTAAATCGGAAACTTATCAATTTATCAAATATTTTCCAACTCATGTCTAAAACATTTAATACCGTATTGAATAAAATGAATGCTTTAATCCTATAATCTGATAATGTAATGTGCACCAAACTTATGTTTATAGAGAAATGGCTTAAATATTTGCATTTCTTATCGCAAATGGTCTTAATGTTGTTTATCAGATAAGGATTTTGAAGTCCGAAAAATAACATGTGCTCTGATCTGGACATAGGTTTGTATGGCTTTCACTTGAATTTGTTCTTAAAAGTGAACACATTTGCGGACAAATCTCTTGAGTTATTTCTAACATTTATTTGAATTTTGCAATTTTCTCTGAAAACTATTCAATTGGATTTGAATTTTAATTGTTCGTTAATTAAGTGAAAACTTTGCGCATAATTAGCATAAGTTTGTATAATATCAGTGCCAAAAAGTGCTTTAAGATGTTTTTGGTCACTGTTTTAGTGACAATTCTAATAAGACTCATAAGATTTCAAATATTTCTTGTCAATACAGTCTTATTGTATATATTTGGCGACAGATATCAACGTTTGGTTAACAAATGGTTAGCAATCTATTTGTTTGGATCTGAAGTCAAGTCACTGATCACCACATATGGGAACAACTCATTGAGTGATCGGTTGGGAAGAACGGAGGAAAGGCTGTTGGCGTTGACCACTACCATAGAGTGGCATATGTTGGCCCTTCAGAACCAGATATTCTCACTTCAGAAACAAGTGGATGACCTCAAAGCCAGAAGTGCCACAAAACCTGCCAAANCAAAACCTGCCAAACCTCTGCCAATCCAACGCTACCTTATTTTGGATATATTGAAGACATTGGCAGAAGAGGGAAGACTCGCGGAACTGTTGGACAGGACTAAGAATAAGACACATAAAGTGAAGAAATATAAGGACGAGATGATCCTTAAGCCATATCCAGACCTCATTAACCAATCGCTTCCCTAATGTCATACATAATCTTACAATGGATTCAATGAATTGATTCTTTCAAAACGTTATTTCGCTAAATGTATCATATTTTTGTTTATGTATATACCGTATTATTCAGTATATTAATCAAATCAATATAAATATACTCATCAAGTTTTCGTATTCATAATTAGTTTCGATTATAATTTTATGAAAACTTTTACTGATGTATAATTTAAATAACTTTTATGTAGAAAATTGTTGTTTTGTTGTCTAAAACTTGAATTTAGTTCAATTACAAAATCACAAAATAAATAAACATTTGATTTGATTTAAATAATGAATCGTTAATTACTTAATAAATTATTAAATTATCGTATGATTTCTGTATGTATTATACAGTACTGTATGTGCAAAATTCCCCTAAATTCATACAAAATATAAAAATACATAACACTAACATAGATGAGTTACTCTTTTGAATATTGATAATTTCCAGCACTTTGTTATAAACTCTATATTTTAATTCATTTAGGTTTACAATTACATTAAAATCATATAAAAGTATATTGTTGAAATAATTTAGAAAAATTCGCAAAATATACAATTAAAAGCCGAGTTAACCGTCGACTACCGTTTCCACCTTAGTTTTAGATGCCTTACCTTTACGTTTGCTGAGATGGGTATGAGTGGCGTTGTGGACGGCCTTCATGTGTTGCGCCCACGACTGCTTTGAAGCCAATAAAGTGGGGCAGAGATCGCATCTCATCTTACGGGCCGAATGAGTCTTCTTATGGATTTGCATCAAATGAATTGTCGCGAAGTTCTTATCGCAACCGACGATATCACAGACGTATGGTTTGGCGCCGGTGTGTAACTCCGTGTGTCGGGTCAGTAGGTGTTGGAATGGGAAAGATTTGGCACATTCTGGCCAATCGCACGCAAACTTGTTATCTTTGGCGATGTGCCGCGATTTGATGTGTCGCTCGACATTGATTTTGGTGCCAAATGTTTGCCCGCAATCGCCGCACTCGTAGGGCCTGATGTTGAGGTGTGCGATGTTTTTGTGCGTTTGGATCTGGTTTCGATGATTGCAATCAATTATTTGATATACAAATCAATTCATTTCTAACACAAACTTACAAACGACTTGTGTTTAAATCGTTTGCCACATCCAGCGAAGTCGCACTCGTAGGGCTTGTCGTCCGAGTGTTTAATCAAATGCACTTTCAGTGTGTGCTTTGAGGCAAACTTCTTCCCACAGCCCTCCCGATCGCAGACATAAGGGTTGGTGTGCAGCAGCTTATGGCTCATCAAACTATTCCCATAATTTGGTGCAATTAATTGGTTAGTCAACTATTTTCCAAAACATTAAAACGAGACTTACTTTGAATAATAAGGAAATGTTTTATTGCAAGGAATGCATCGGTATTTATAGTCCTTATTATGTGTCTTCATATGTTTGATGAGTCCTTTCGACGAGAAATCTCTTTTACCGCAAATGTCACACGTCTTTGGATTCGTATGAATTTCCCTAAAATATAGACAAATGTCTTAATATAGCCATCAAATCAAATATCGCACTAAATATGACAGACATATGATATTTGAGATCTCTTTCATTGACGTATTTGCGGTCACAGACTGAGCACTGGTAGCCATCGGGTGGGCGAAGACCCTCCTTCTCGTGGGCCTCGAAGATATGTGCCTTCAGTTGGGATTCCGTCGGAAACTTGTGTTCACAGAAGGGAGCGCTACAGACATGAGGGTTGGTGTGGATGTGTTGAT